CTTCATGTTTTTTAATGAGATCTGTCACTTTTTGTATTTGGCTTGTTCCTTAAAAATCTGTATAAATCATGAAATGGTATTGTGCTACAGAAAAGCATCTTCTACTTAGTAAAACAAATTACTTTGATTAAGGAATCTGAGTGGCAGAAATATACACTCTTCTGGTAAACAGTTCTTTTTTTTTTTTCCTATTGGTACAGTAGCATTCATTTAGGAAATTGCGCAAGGCCTTTAGAGAGCTTTAATAAAGCTATTGATTGCATTATGCAGTACTAGGAAAGGGCAAAAACCATACTTATGGCATGACTTAAATAAACTGATATTAGTCCATGCTTCCTCTTAACTCGTTGAATTTGCTGCCAAAAAAGTGGAAATCCCAAGAGCAAGATACCTGCACCAATATCCTGAAGAAAGTTTTTGAAGAAATGAATGAAAATAACATTGTGAGAGGCACATAGATAAATTCAAATTATTTTTGTAGTGTCATTTTTTGTAATAAAATAGGGATTATAAGGAAAAAACATGGAGTTCATGGAGTGAATAGTTTATCCCTGCATGCCTCCTGGGTTTATTAAGGAAAATGTATGTGTAAAGACACTTGACAGAAAATTCTTGTCTCTCACTTCGTTCTCATTTACAACTTGTGTTGTTTCAAGGGTCTCAGCTATTTATTTGGGAGACTTGTCCTGTATGCTAACAGAAAATGTGCAGAAATAATTCATACATCTAGTTTTTTTTCCCCTTTAGTGCTTTTTAACTTCTGTCATGAGTATTAGAAATTTAATACTGTCATATGTTCTGGAGTATCTAGCCCTTGGTTACATTACAACCAACAGCTAAAACAAATAATATTGCATTGCATAATGTTAGTAAATGTGCATGTCTGTTGGTGTATATTCATGCACTCATATTTATATGTAGAGTGAGGATGTGTGCATGGGTGCAATATCCTTGTCCAGCTTCAGATGGAGGTGGTTAAATGTAGTAGAATCACCGTGATGAAGGAGATGCTTTGATGTTTGCAAGAGAGTAGGATGGTAAAGAGGGGGGAAGGCCCCATAGATCCATGGCACTCTGCATGAGAGAGCTGGATCTTTTTGCATTTAATCCTTTTCTGTTCTAACCTTGCTATCATTTAAAGTAAGAGTGATGTTCCCAGTTTGTGCTTTGGGGAATATAATGGTTTTTAACAGAACCTAGAAGATACTGTGACTGAGTGGCAAAGATTGAAAAACAGTATCATTTGTACAAATTGCACAGATACTGAGTTCATAGATAAAAAAATCCCCATCAAATGTGTATTTTCTTTGTGGCCAACTTAGGTGTGAAATTGCTAATTTCTATTTTGCAGTATGATGATAGCTTGCTGATAATATCAGAGGATTATATTTTGATGTAAGCTCACATAGTTATGATGCCTTAATTAAATGTTTGGAAATAAAACAAGTTGTTGAGCTATGTACAATTTTTGTAACTTAATTTCTTTTTCATGAAAGTCACACAGAAATAGATTTTTAAAAATTTATTAAATCTATTAATCTAATCCAAATGCTGTCCTTCTATTCAAATAATTGTACCAGTATAGCATGTTAGTGTGAAGCTCCAACACATTTTTGTCTTGTGATTTTATTTTAGATGTATAATTTTTACTTGTTGGTCATGAATTTAGTTTCTGTGGAGGCCAGGAGGTAGAAACCCTTTATTATTCCAGCACTGCATGGGACTCTGCACTGCTGTATCAGGAAATCTCAAGTAACAGTTTTATGACGCATGAGGATATTACTCTCTGCAAGCAATAACACGCATTTCTATTTCCCCAGCAATATCCACATAATCAAACATTCACAAGTGCTTTACAAAGAATTTAATTAAATAGTGTGCAGAGTGACTGGATGCAGCATGTACACAAGCTGTTAGATATTCAGTAGTTCCCAATTTGCAGTTAGTGCAGAACACTTTTGTGCAGTAATATGTTGAATGATATTTCCATCAAAATGTGCATTACCACTCCTCCCTTTGTACCTTACTCCTTAAAAATGACACTAAAACCTTAACAGATGTCACCTCCAGAATCATAGGATACCTTGCTCAGGGCTCTAATGGTGTGATAAACAGGGAAATACAAATTCTCATGTTGAGACTTGAACATCACACATTGTTCCTCTGAAATGAAGCGTTTATTACTCCCCAGAGAAAGATATAGATTACTGTGTCTTTTACCACAAAATTAGACGTGGTTGGAATTTTATTTAAAGGTTGTAGTAATTTTTGAAGCTATCAAAGACCAGCCACTGAAAAATTAACATTGAGACTTGGATATTCAGAATTGAGATGTAGACAATAAGAAGCAAAAAATTTCATGACGATGAGTATTTTCAGAGACCATTCTGTCAGTCAGTGGAGATTAAGAAAGTCTCTTTGGCATTAAAGTGTAGTGTATCAGTCTCTGTACTAGGAAATGATAGTGTGCTCATATTCACTCAACATTATTGGTATGCTCATGTCACCTGCAGGGATTACCATTCTGGAAATCTGACAGGGTTATCTAATATGTTTTGTTTTCTCTCTCAAAAAAGCCCTTTCAGCAGTAGCCAGTGTGTGAAAGGACTTTTCAGGCTTGCAGAGAAATGGGGCTATGTTGGATGAAAGTGATTTAAAATATCCCTCTGTGGCTGCCTTCCTGCAAGGCACTTATCTGTCCATCAGATTGGAAGGTTTTGTTGGTGTGTCAGTGCTGTAAAGTATCAGTCCAAACCAGAAAAGCAATAACAATGACACAAACAGTGAAAGACAGTCTGTAATTAGCCTATAAATGTGTTTAGTGTGAGACCTCACCCTTGTTTCCCAGTTCTGCAAGAGTTATTCCAGTTTATTACTGGATGACACTGACAAAATCTATCCATTTTGGCTGGAAAGAAAGACCAAAAACTACAAATGCACCAAAAGGAGAATAAAGAGTTGAAAGGACCAGTGAAAAATAGGGACTTGGTTTTACTTTTGTGCTTGTTCTGTTCTGTGTTTAAAGGGAAGTGCTGGAAACTTAATTGGGGTAAATAAGAACAGTATTTATCTTCTGAAGACACCTTTTGGGGGAAAGTTTAATTGGTGTAAGAGAAGTTATGGCTTCCTTTACAGAGTTGAGAATGGGAGAGATCCCTGTTTAATGTTAATGAAAACTTACCATTAACTTCAGTGATTCCACGTGGTAATGTTTGTGTCTTTTTTTTCACCCCCATCCCTATTCCTTCTTTGTATAGCAGACAGGAGCTTTTCATTTTGCATGTAATGTATAAAAAATTGCAGTTATTCTAAAAAAATAGTACAGTTCAAGCTTCAACTGAAGAAGAAAAGGAAAACATCTAGTTTCGAATTTACTCATGTCCCTTATTTTGAGCACCATGTTTTGGATTTTTCCTTTTTTTCTTTAATTAGGCTTGTGTTCTAGTGTTTGCTTTTCTATAAAATATTTGTTTTTTAACATTTGAAGTGTGTCTCTGTGATTTGGATGTTTTCTGCATGTATTGGGAAGTAGCTACTAGACTTGCCTTGAATTCACTAGGAGGCTGGTATTTTTATGCTTCTTAAAGCAGGCCCTTTTTAGGAATGCCAGAATATGCCCAAATTCTCATTTCCCGGTATTTCAGTGGCAATTTCCTTTGAATCTTGGAGCAGGACTTCTGCAGTCTGTTTGTTCTCCAAGCCAATTCCAGCACATGCATCAGCAAGCCAAAACAGACAAACCTAGGAGAAGTCTCAATGCTGTAATACAATTTACAGTGTTATTTAGAATAATTAGGTCAGAATTTCACTTGTTCATGTTAGGAAGTCACCCAGTGAAGGACCACCTAGACAGACTTGTGATAACTGCCAATGAACTAGCTTTGGAAGCAGAAGTAGTAGAGGCAAATGAGGGAGGAGTGTGGCAGCCAGGCTAATTAATTAAGAAGTCAGGCTAATTAGTTTGACTGGAGGGAGCACCATGCTGATGTCACATTGCAGCTTCCAAAATGCTGTCTGATTTGCACACGGGTTGTACTGGGCTTCAAATAGACAAGCAAGTTGTTTCTGGGCTCTTTCAGAAATTTTTTGCCATGAAGCAGAATTGTGTATTGGTTCGTTTATGAACCTATATTGAACCTAAGGAAATTTACTGCAATTTTAGTTTTCTTTCCAGACTGGTAGTCAATTTAGTTCCTTTTCAATCTTGGCAGTAAGATTTTTATAAGACATGTATTGTAGTATTGAGTTTTTCAGCCTCATGCCACTGGGACAGATTCCTTGGTGCTTTTTTTTACGCGATGAAGGACTGTCCCATATTGTCCCTAATATTTTCTCACTTAATAAATACAAAACAGAACTAAAGTTCCTTAAGTTGCATATGGTTCCATTGTTCTAGCTGGCAGGGCTGAGAGGTGGCTGTCAGCAGTCTTGCTCCCAGAGGATGCATGCTAACAACTGTGTACATTGTAAAATGCCTTGTTCAGTAAGAACTGGGGATTCTGAACAGTTTGCCATTTTTCTTGATGTTATGAAACGATATTTCTTCAGTGCACCCCTAAATGTCAGTCATTACATACAGTTTGATGTGTAAGATGTTCATAAAGGAGTTGCTTTAATGAAAAGATAAAAAAATGCTTGTAGTAGGAGTCTGTGTTACTGTGCTGATATGGTATAGTAAACATTTGAAGCAGTATCAAACTCAGAAGTAAATCAACAAGGTGTTGTAAATAAGCTGGATTCTGTATAAAAAGCTTCGTTAGAAATACTTAGTACTGTATTACATCAATAACATGGTTATCATTTGTGAGCAGATAGTGGCATAAGATAAAAATGAATACTTTATTAATGTTTCCTAAGAAATATTACCAGAGTGCTTTTTTTTTTTTCCCCCATGTATGTTATATAAAATGCTTTTAGTGATGATTTGTGGTCCTTCTTACAATAGCTCTTCAGCATAGTAGCTCCCAGAAGGAGTTAACATATATATTTTCTATTTCTAGATCTGTTGGCTGTGCCTAAGCATCCATATGCTGCTATGGAAAACTGGGGACTGAGTGTTTTCGTGGAGCAAAGGATACTGCTGGATCCAAGCATTTCTTCTATTTTATACCTACTGGATGTCACCATGGTCATTGTACATGAGCTATGTCATCAGGTATTTAAGGTGTTCACATATTTGAGCTTAATGTCAGAAAGCATGTGCTTTTCAGAACTGAAAATGAATTTGTATTGTACATATGAATGGTTGTGAATTCTATTGTAGCTGGAATCCATGGAATGTGGAGGTCTGTAAGACAAATCCCTCCGACACAGAAACTGTGAAGACTCAAAATGGGGTTAGAAGAGAAAACTGGTAGCAATAAACAGCTTCTCTGTCTTCCGTAGCAGTATATTCTGTGTGTTTGTGTGTCACTGTATTTGTTACTGGTATGTAGAATAAACTTGTTGATAGGAGATTCATGCTAAGTTTCATGTTCATGTCAAAAAATATTTTGGCTGAAATCAATTTAGTAGTAGTCTTTGTCTTCTGTGGTATATACATATATCCATTTTCTCTTTCTTAGTTTTTTTTCCCAGTTTGGTATTGACCCTCTCTGTTCACCAACAGTGGATAAGTGAGTCTTTATGTGTACAGAAACTATTGTGTCAGTAAGAAAACTTAAAATAATAAACCCGTATTACAATTTATTTTACACTTTTCCCATCTTCTTATCTCAAGCTAAACACATTACAAGTGTTAGTAATATTGAATTGAATGCAAATGTTATTGAAGAAATTTGCTACAGGGGCAGGAAACGCTTTCTTACACTCATAAGAGGCATAATCATAGCCTTCAGGTTAAAATGAATGAAATCCTACTGTGTAATCACCATGGCTTACATCTGTGAATTTACACAGTATTCTTTAAAGGCGATGCAAATTCTTAACACTTTCTGCAAATAAAAAGTACCATGTGAAAGGAAGTAATTGAAATGGTGTTTTGGGAGATGAACCTGAAAATAATCCTCATTGGTAAATGAATATGAAATCCTCAACTAAAACAGGAAATTTTTATTGAAAGTTACTGCTAGTTTGATCTTGATACTATCACCTGATTTTGCTATACGCTCTTCACTGTGCAGTGCAATAGAGTAGTACACAGTTCAGCTAGAAAAATTACAGTGCCTTAGGAACCATGTGTGGAAAACATACATTAGGTCATCAAGTCCCAGCTCCTGTGAGTATTGGATTTTTCCACGTGATGTGTTTGTAGTGCCGGGTTCTGTGCTCCTGATTACAGGGTTATATGGCTTCCCTTAAAAGCTTTTGATTAAATCTGATAGTAAGTAACTATTCCCAAGTGTTCACCTTAAGTCTTGGTTTTTCTGAAATAGTTTCATTACTTCCATTTATTCTTTGCACTGCTTTGATAATTTCCTCTGCTTCCAGAGCAATTTGTACTTCAGATATGGGCAATAATCACATCAGTAACTGGCCAAGTTTGTTTATTTAATTCTCATAGACACTGAAGCCTTTTTACATTGTTGTGGGAATTTTAGAGGATCATGAAGTGAGCAAAAACTATAGGCAAATTTATTTTAAGGTAGAAATATGATCATAAAGTGCATTTAAGTGACCGTAAAATTGCAGATGAGGAGATTTACTTGATGTCCATGTTGATATTACTTCCAGCGCTGTTTGCTTAATTAAAAGTAACTTCCTCTATTCCTGTTGCTGCTGGTTCTGTTTCAGTACCATGCAGATTAGGTATTTGCTCAGCTACTTCACTGGGTAGCTAGACAAGACAGAAAAAATTGAAGTTAAAGGACCATTTTTTCTACTTTTTGGATGCAGAATTGTCACACAGAATATGGATTATTCGCCTGCAAATAAAGTTTAAAGGGAGAAAACTAAAAAAATTATAACATAAAAACCACTGTCTAGTATCTCCATCACATTGTCTTTATTTAGCCCTTTTTTCTGTCTTTATCTTACCATACTCAGAAGCCCCTCAAGAAACTCTAAATGATACAATCTTAGATGAAAATGTACTGAACCAAGACCAGGTTAGGTCCAGGATCTCTTGCCTCTGCTGTTTAATTGTTATTTATTCACTGCATTTTTCATTGTCTTTGGCTGTGCATCATATCACCTGTTAGCCTGTGGTGATGCATTAATATTCTTCCCCTTCACTCATTTTTACACATAGAATAACAAAAATTAACCAAATTCTCTCTGGTGCAAGCAAAACTGGAATCCACATTGCCAGTTTTGGTTTTTATTTATTGGGTTTTTTTTTTAGATTTCAGGGAAGGGGAAAATGAAATTCTTTTAAAATGTGTGTGGATTTTTTTTTAAATTTTATTTTAATTGTGTCATTGTCCAGGTTCCCTGACTTTAAATCCATGACTTCAAGATTTATGGAACATATCTGAGTATGTAGTAAACTGATCTGTATGAGAGACCTGTTACTTACAGTAACACAGCAATTTCTTTGCTAATGTTTCCAAGATTAGAGAAACCAGATTAATATTAAAAATCTGGATTCTTGCCTTTAGATTTGACTTTTTAAAAATTGTAATTACCAAACCTGCTCTGTATTAATGCTTGAGCACAGTCCTCAAGACAGATAAAAATGAGAGACAGCGCTACAAAAGGAAAAATTCAGTGGTTGCTAAAAGCCAAGTAAAAAGTGTGTAAGAAAGGATTTCATGTCCAGTTTCTTCATAGCTGACTTCTCATATTTGACCAGGTATTTTAGGTACACGTGTTGGGAGAGATGCATTAAAGTTACTTCAGTAGTGTTGGTTCAGTGGTTTTGTAGGGTGCTATTTTTTGATATTTCAGCTTGAGTGTTCTTTCAGAATATTTATTTGTTTAATTAAAAAGAAAATTGGTCATAAGTGTTTTGGCATAAAATCTTGTCCTCTGAGCTCCAAAAGATGAGTTGGTCAAAACACATGTATTTCCACCAGCTTAATTTGATAGCCTGAAATAATTACCATAATTTATTAAAATAATTCTTTTAAGGTAGTAATCAGTTTTATTTGCATATCATAGATCAGTTCCACCTATAGCCTTTGAAGAAAGAGTCATTTGAATTTATGCATCATGATAGTTTTCCCACCTGAGCACAAAACTTGGTGTGACAGATTGAGTTACAGAAGCATGAAAGTAGAAAGAAAATTAAAAACTTCTAAATCAACATTTTATTTTAATAATCTCTAAAAAAATGTATAGAAAAGAGTGTCCTTTCAGTGTATCTGTAAATTAAGTACTTTCTGCATATCAGGTTGAACATAATACCTGAAGGAGAATAGAAATTTATGTGATCAATACATTTCAAAATGAGTGATGGTCTTCACTCCAGGGAAATAGAGCCTATAGTTAAATACACAAATAAATAAATAATTACTTAAAGAAATTTAATTACAGTTTTCCTTTGAGACATGTAACACCTAGGAAGATAATAGCACCTTTCTGCTGGAAAATTTGGCTTTCTTGCTTACAGCCTCTGGGTACTGCTCTGTCTCTGACATCCATAGCTCTCTCTGATACTGTTCAAAAGTAGTTAAGTGAATTCCCTACATTGTCATATTGATATCACATACTGGTTTAATGCCTTTAAAACAATTCTTTCTTTAGGTGGATAATTAAACAAATGATTTTAATTGTATCCTTAACAAATGAACCCATAAAACTCAAAAAGGAGTAGAAGAAATTCTCTTTTGTAGCACCATAAATTAATGTTATTAATTCAAATTACAGGATGAGGTATTATGGACTTTAAAACCTTTATTTTCTGAAAGTCTCTCTGACTAGTCATAGTTCAAAATGACAGTTGTACCACTGGTTTCATATTTGTTCAGTAGTACTCCTGTAATTCAGGAAATAAACTCTGTTATAATAAATGCTGTTATGTTTAGTCATTAGAAATCATTTAAGCAGCCTACTCTGGTATGAATTTAGCTTCCATACTTCTTGGTAAATGAAAGTTATATTCATTTTATTGTTTTAAATTCTGCAGAAGCTATATGAATATATTTCTAGCATTTCTTTGTCTTTTCAGTTAAATGTTCTTACGATCAGGATCTATGTTTAGTGGCTTTGTAGAGAGTTAATTTATTGATAGCCTTCAACTACATTATGCATACTGAGTGTGCATTAAGTTTAGCTTCACATAGTGTATGAACAGGACTTCTAGCAACCTCATCTTTTCTCTCTAAATTCTTAAGGTGGTCTTCAGAGACATTCATTGCCATTTTTTTCTTCATTGTTTTCATTTGAATTCTGTTTGCTGAACCTTATGTGGATTTCTGATAATCTTCCAGCTAGTCTGGTCTTTGCTTGCTAGTCTGTCCTTTGAAGCTCCAGTGTTCACGTCACTACGGATCCTTCTGTGCATGTCATTCTCAGTCCACAAAGACATGCTCAGAAGTGACATCTTTCATTCAGGTCCCAGACAAACCCTTCAAACAAGCCAGCTGTCATGAAATCAGACTGCTTATGGGCCATCTCTGCTTTCACTCTTTCCTCACTCTCATTACACTTCAGCATCAGTTCCTCTGCTCTGACCTGAGTTTTTCCCTCTAGAATACTTTCTGCTCCCTCTCTGTATTTTTAGAGCTTGCTTACACATGAAAGCTCAAAATTATCTCTCTAGATTGTAACTAATTTTTATAAATATTAAGAGAAAACTGGAAGATAATGTTACTTCAACAAAGTTTTGTTATTTTTTTGGCAGAAGAGATGCTACAGAGAGTATGAAATAGGTTTTCATAATACTGTCAATGTTTTTGTTCTTACCACTGGTGTAACATTATTCAGGTTACATATTACAAGCATTTAAATAATAATTTAAACAGGATCATCCATCAGCAGATAGAATATATGACATCTGGTTTCCTGTGAATTCCAGTCCTCATCTGTTTTCCAGTGATCATCCTAGCTCTGTGTAAAATCCCTCTGACACCTACATGTCCTGTACTATGAGATTTGTGTCTGTTGAAGTGTACTCTGTGAGCAGAGTACATAATGGTTGTGTTCCTGCCTTGCCTTCAGCTCAGGCCCTTATCCTCTTTTCAGCTGATGATCTTTATTTACTTGTGGAGTTTATGGAGTTTAGTTATCCTTGAGATTTCTGTCCATGATAAATTAGATTGAAGTCAGTGGGGATGTTGAAGAATCATCTGGAGGAAATGGGAAAGGCAGGCAGCTCAAGTAGGGCTCCTTTGAATATACACAGGTAGGCTGTGCCATTTCAGATACCTCTGCTTCTGGTTGCTGTTTGTGAAGGCTGCTCATGTTCTTTAAGTCATGTATGAAATTTCCTGGGCCTTTGTGAGTATCTCACATACCCTAGTATCTTCTCTAAATGCCATCAACTTCCTGCTTTTTAGCTTCTGAGTCCTACCCACAGAAAGCTGGCATTGTTGTGTAAAGCTGCTTTCTTTAAGAAACCTGCCAAGGAGAGGAGCATCAGTAGTATGGTAGATGTTAGTGGGCAGAGAGCAGGGAGAAAGAAATGCTAAAATTTAGGTCTGGGGTGGAGAATGTGTTCCCATTTTCATATATATGTTTTTTGTTATTCACACTATGCATCATGAAATTCCCATGTAATGGATCAGATTACTTGAGTTAGAAGCCTTTTTCTGTCCAATGTGTATGTTAGTCTGTTAAACCTAGGTGAACATCTACTTCAGAGAACTAAACTTGACACTGTGAATACTGTCCTCAATGCTTCTTTCGCCCTGCTTGTTCTTTTCTAATGTTTTACTTCATTAACTTGTTCATCCTGTAATGTTGTATTAATTAACAGGAGAAATACGGTTAGTGAATTTCAGTGTGAGGTAAAAACTACTGTTTTATTAATACAAGTGGAGAATGCGTTTGTCTAGGTGAAATATATGCAAACATGGTTTCCTAAAGGTTGTTAAAGTTGTTCATGTGAACTTTTTGTTTTTCCAGTGGTTTGGTGACCTTGTGACTCCAGTTTGGTGGGAGGATGTGTGGTTGAAAGAAGGTTTTGCTCACTATTTTGAGTTTGTTGGGACAGACTACCTCTACCCAGGGTGGAACATGGTAAGTCAGTTCTATTTTGTTAGTGTGGAGACTCCACAGAAACGTTGCTCTGCTGTTAGACAGGGACTGCTGAAAAGTACCAAATGATGTATGCAAGTATCAGATGTCAAATGAAGCAAAATTGCTAGGTGTGAAGTAATTTTACAGCATTGCAAAAGTGTAATCTGCAATTTATTGCAAAAGAAATAATGTCGTGTCTATCGTAACCCAGCATTAAAATAGCTACTGTCTCTCTGCTTAGAAATATTTTTGATTAAAGCAGTTATGATTTAACATGGACTATTTTTTAAAACATTGAGAACATTGAATTTTATCCACAAGATAAATTGGAAAGAAATGTTTGGCTAAAACATTCTATGAAAATGAGCATATTTTTTCTTACAGTATTCTGTTCTTGTCTCCCTAAATATACTCTTTTAATCTTCCTGGTATTGTTTGCATATCTAAAGTAAATGTTAAATTAACATAGGTTGCATAAATTGAGAAGTTATGTTTTGGTGTGTTTTGTCGCTGTACACAGTGGGACATGCTTTTTCAACCAGTGTGCAAATACAGGAACTCTCTGAGGGAACTGGGAATTCCATAATGGGACATTATTTTGGAGTCCTTCTGTTATATCATATTGTTTCTTGGCAGAATTTTTATGAATTGCTGTAGTCTAGCTACATTATATTTGTAAGAAAAATAAGAGAGATGAGACCTCAGTACAAGGAAATCATAAATGAGACCATGTTGAAGGTTTCAATAGAGATTTTTATTGTCCTTTGGATGCGTGCTAATGTTTGCTAACCTTTTGTGCTCATATATGTTTGATTATGGGGCAAAATATTTATTATAGGTCATGATTGTCTGACAGATTTTTTGGGGCTTGAATGTTTTGCTTAAGCTCTTAAAAACTAATGTCTGAATATTTTTTCCATTTCTATGTGCTTTCTTGAGTATACTTATCCCATTAACTTATGGCACCATAAAATGAAGATGCTATAATTATGAGTTAAAACCAACTTTTAAAAAAATAGTTGTATACAGGTTACTCTTGAGTTAGTTATGCTTCTTGTGAAATTTGAATTCTTTGTAGTATTTTAATTTTTTCTTTCAGGTGTCAATTATGATTTATAATTGCATTATGAAAAGGAAAACAAACCTTTATTTGAATTGACAACTTTGTTGCATAGGTAGGCTTGTTGGGTTTCCCTGGGTTTGGCTATATTAAAACTCATTCTATTCATCTTTATAAAGAACACAACCTGAATTACAATGTGATGATTCTAATTATGAATGCAATGAATTCTGGCAGGCCTTTGTGTTTTTAGCATAGTGAAGTGTCATAGATGACAACATTTATACACTGAATTTTATCTTCAAATCATCAGTCATTTGTTCTTCACATAATCAGTCTAACAAATTCAGAATTACTATGCTTAAGAAGTCATTTGGAATATAGTATATTTGCTTGAAATTTCTGTGGAATGAATATAATGTTCACTGTTATGCAAATAACATGCCCATCATGTGAAATCTTGGCATTTTAGCAGAATACAACCAAGAAGAGTGGATTGAGCAGGGGATGGCAGTTAAACTGGGAAATCAGAAATGTGCTGCATAAATTAGAATTAACTACGTAATATTGCTGTGCCTGAAAAAGTATTAATCTATCAAGTTTTTCCTTAAATTAAAAAAAAAAGAGAGACATATATTGTTCATAAGGCTTTGGATATCTTTGACCTTTGATATAAAAATGATCATATTGACATATTTAAATGATGACAAAATGAGATGAAACTCAAAATGGCTTAATCATACTTCATTCTTTTGCAGACTACTAGAGTAGGAATCAATACTGTTGTGTTTCAGCATGTTGATTACACAGATTGTAGGAAGAGGAAGCAAGAGTTACAGTTACTGAAATTTGTCTTGCTGAAAATTTTGTTATTGCTATAAAATGCATTTGCTGTTTAAACATATTGACTGGCATTTGTAAACTTGAAAAAATTAAAGCAATCATGTGTAAAAAGAGAAACTGTTCCAAGCAACTTAGTGTTTTTTACAAGAGAAGGATGAAGTACAAGTTGCAAAAACAAGAACTAGAAACCTTATTTTCTGTCATGATGGCCAAATAGTGCAATATTCCAGTATTCTGTTTCGTGTTTTGTCAGTAGTAATTCACACCTATGAATTATAAATAAAAAAATGTATGATGTATGTTACCACAGCTCTTTGTGTCAGGAAAACAGTGATAAACTAAAATCCTCTTTATTTCTAAAGAATTGGGAAAGTTAGATAGCTAACTTATTTCCCTCATAATTTTGAAATGTTAACCTTGAAGGTTTGCTCAAGATGCCCATGGATTAAAATGTCAAAATCAGCTTATTTTTAGCTTACTAAAGACTTTTTGTCACATTCTTTTTTGGATAATTGTAGAAGCAGAAGACTGGTAGTCCATTCCAGAAAAAGCACTTTTGTCTGGAAATGCAACTTGGGCAATGGATACACCTGAAAAAATGGTATCTATCCGCAGCTTCCTCTCTAAGTTGTTGATATTTATAGGCTACAGGAATGTAAGCTTTCACCATTAAGGCTTATAAACCACTAAAGTTTTGATATGACTTCTCTGAAAATGTTTCTCTTTTAGCAGAGCTGAGCATTTTTCAGTTTCCATCTTATCAGGCATTCACAGCCTTGGTGTGGCTGAACCTGAGACTCTTGAGAAGAGCTGTCTTTTAGGCATGTTCATACCAATACAAACCAAAGGCACCCAGTTCTGCACAAAACAGGGATCTATGATTCTTGTCTGAAACCTATGTCTTGGCTTTTCCTTCTTCTCCAGGTTCTTTAGCTTTCTTAAATATTTCTTCCCCCTGCCATTTTTCATTTTATCAGTTTTTCTTTAATTGTCTTCTAGACTATTTTACAATAGGAAAGATGAATGGATAACAGTGCCAACTACCATGGAGCTGTAACACTTTATTGAGCATTCCAGCATGTCAGGAATTTCTTGTGTTGTCCAGAAGGCATCTACTGCCATACTTCATCATGCTTGCATAATCTTAATGAGAAAGGAAATCCAGTCCTTATTAAACCCTTGCTGTCCTTATGTCCTGGATCCTCTAGCTGAGGTCACTTGGTCTGTTCAGCCCAGAGGAGAGCAGACTGAGGGGACCTCATGGCAATCTACCACTTCCTCATGAGGGGAAGAGGAAGGGCAGGCACTGATCTGTAATGCCTGATGACCTGAGGGAGTGGCCTGAAGATATCTGGGGAGGTTGAAGTTAGCTCTTAGGAAAAGGTTCTTCATCCAGAGGGTGGCTGGGCACTGGAACAGGCTCCCCAGGGAAGTGGTCACAGCACCAAGTCCAACTGAGTTGAAGCAGTGTTTGGACAGTGCTCTTGGACACATGGTGTGACTCTTAGTGATGGTCCTCTCCAGAGCCAGGACTTGGACTCGGTGATCCTTGTGGGTCCCTTTCGGCTCAGATTATTCTGTGATTAAAATTTTGGGTGAAAAAGAGCATGAAGAGGCATTCTGATGGAAGTGTCCATTATCCATTGCAATTAATGTAAAATACATCAGAACTTTCCCAAGGAAGGGAATGAAGTTTTGCTGGTTTTAAAACAGGAAGATGAGCTTTCTGTGCTGAGATTCTTAATCGTTATCTCAGTGTCTTAATATCCTTTTCCAAAGCTAAGTCGCTTCAGATTAAAGCTAGAGTTTCTCATTTCCTTCCTTTAGCTAAAAAAAGAAGGCCCTGCATGTTACTTTTTACCTTGTGAAGATGAAGCTATGTTTAATTTTGCAGGAAAGCTCTCTCTGCTATACAGTGATTAGACATTTGCCATGGGAAGGAATTCACCATTCTTCCCATTTCATCCTCTTGCCTTGCCTGTCTCCCAAATGAGGAGTTTTTTTAAATTCTAATTCTGAAATGCCTCAAATTCTTACTGCTAGATTTCATTCTTAAAGGTCTGGGAACTTTAAACAGTTGTTTCTATGTTGTCAGGATGATTTTAAAAAGAAAGCTGTGTTTGCAAAGTGTTCCTCTGAGATCGGGAAATTTTGCTTGATCATGTGTGCTCAGAATAGTCATCTGCATGTGAATTCCCTGGCTGTTGCTATTTCATGATTTAGAAAAAGGCAAGATTTCTGTTTTAGAGGCTTCCTCTATGGCTGTTTCTCCGTGTCATCAAAAAGCAACCACAGCTGGATGTGAGTTCTTGAGCTGTAAGATCTTATGACCAATACAAGGTAATCTCACTTCTGTGGAAGGGGCCTTTGCTGGTTTTAGAATCAGAGAAAATTACAGTGGAAAACTCCATGATGGTAATTTCCACTTCAGCGCTCTGTCTTTTCTCATCTACCATGCTCTCCTTCCTCCTCTCAGAGGCCTGTTTGCAGCTGTATATTCCATCTTTCTCTTGGCTTGTTTCTCTCATATCCTGAAGTCCTTTGCATGTGGCTTTGTAAAGGAAGGAATTCAGCTGAGGCTTGCAGATCCAGAAATTTATTGGCTGATCTTTTCCCTCCATATTTTCTGGTAGAAGGAACCATCATGTTTGTCCTTGAATGTCTCTGGTACTGGGTTAGATTTTGAGGACTATGACAGCAGGAATTACTGGCATGTAATTTGACCATGCATCCATCAAATGAGCATCAAATACTTTAGCAGTCAGTGCCTGACTTGGTGCTGAGAAAGCATTTCACAGCTGCCTTCTCCCTTTTTTTATTATATAAAAGTTAGCTTTGCTGACAACTTCACTGGCTGAGTCAAGGTGTAGCATACCAGCAATAGCTTTGGATCCTATGTCTTCTTGATCCATTCTTGATCCCATTGCCTTGGGATAGGATTTTCTACTTTCTTATTTGCTTACTACTTTTATAATTAAGGATGGTCATATCTGCCAGAATTTTTCTTAAAAATGAAATTTTAAATTAGTTTTTCTTATTAAATTGAAAACTTTTAACCTGTATAGAAGGGTATCTTTCCTCCTTCCTTAAGTGAGCT